AGCTTTTATTTTTGGCGTATCCCTATCAATGTGCTGCTGCAATCATTTACAAATTAGCTTCAGCAAGATTTTACTTGTGTGATATTAATGATACTGTTCAGTAATTTCTGTAATCTTTTGCATTACTTTTCTTTGGAGTGGGCCCACATATGCATCTCTTCCAGTTTGTTGGCCAGGCAGCTGTCTTCTAAATTTCTTGGCATAGATGAGTGAGTACTTGCAGCTTTGTATCAATTTATTTAAACATCTCAATTGGTATTCCATTAATTTCTGGAACCTCATGCCTTCAGTGCAGTTTGGGCTTCAGTACTGTAGTATCTTGATAGTAAGCTTCCAGCTTTTGCATTCCAATCACCAGCAATTATTAATGAATCTTAGCTGCAGGTTTGATCAATTTCAGACTGAAGAAGTTGGTATAATTCTTCAACTTCATCATCACTGGCTTTGGTGAGTGCCTCATAAATTTGAATATTACTTATATTAATTGGTCTTCCTTGCTGTTGTTGTTGTTAGGTGCCTTCAAGTAGGTTCTAACTCACAGTAACCCTTAAATACTAGAAGGAACCATTGCCCAATCCTGTATCCTCACAATTGTAATGCTTGATCCCATCGCTGTTGGCACTGTGCCAATCCATCTCATTGTGGGTCCTCCTCTTGTTCGCTGGCCCTCCCTGTTCCCAAGCATGATGTCCTTCTGCAGGGACTGGTCCCTTCTAATAACATGTCTGAAGTATGAAAGACAAAGTCTCACCATCCTGGCTTCAAAGGAGCATTCTGGCTGTACCTCTTCCAAGACAGATTTGTTTGTTCTTCTGGCAGTCCAGGGTACTTTCAGTATTCTTCTTCAATACCATAGCTGCAACCATGAACTTAAACATACCAATTATCATGACAATGGCACAGGACTGGGCACTGCTTCAACCTGCTCTACATAGGGTCACCATCAATTGAAGCTAACTCAACATCTAATAACATTCACTACTAAATACACATGGCATTCTTTAGTACTTGTTTATTTAATCTCGAAGCATCATTTGACCAGGCTGATTGTTATTTCCTGCTTAAAAACTTTTGGTTGGTTTCTCTGAAACTTGGATACCACATACTCCTGGTTTTCTTTTATCCCCATGACTGCTGCTTCTCAAACCCCTTGCCTGCCTATCCTTTACCTATCAATAGGGGAGTTTCTGGAGGGCTCTGTCTGTGAGCCCATTTACACAATCTTCTAATAACAGTGATCTCATCTACTCTTCTAGTTTCAACTGACACAACAAATGACCTGTAGCTTAGACTGCTCCACCAAGCTTCACAATCACATGACCAACTGTGCATTTCAGATTTCCACTTAAATGTATCAGAGATATCTCATTTAACATGTTTTAAGCTGAACTCTTCATCTTGCTCCACAAATTTGCTTCTCACCTAAAATTGCCTTAACTCACTAATAGCTCCCTATTGTGTACACTCTTGGCCAACCAAGACTCTCAGAGAGTCATCCTTGCTTCTCATTTCCGCCATTTAACCCATCACCTAGTGTTGTCAAATCTGCCATCTATTGAACTGCAAGGTCGGTGGTTCAAGCTCACAAGCCGCTCCTCAGAAACCCTATACAGGGTTGCTGTGAGTCGGAACCAATTGTTTGGCACATAACAACAACAACAAACACTTCTTAATCTGTTTATTTCAATCTCCGTCACCACTACCTTAATCTCTGTCACCATGTGCTCTTGTCTGGACTTTGACAGCTGCCTCCTAACTGGTCTTCCCTTATCCATGTTTGATCCTTTCCAATCCATTCACAGACCTCGAGAGAGATTTTAAAACACATTTCATCCTCTCCTTGTCCTGTTTAACAGCTCTCAGAAGCTTCCATTTGCTTGTAAACAACTTCCAAAGTCTTTGCCACACCCTACCAAGAGGAGTGCTGGTGTGGCACTGTAGGATAAGTGCTGGACTGCCAACCATAAGGTCGGTGGTTCAAACCCACCAGATGCTCCTGGATATCCTATATGGGATCACTGTGAGTTGGAACCAACTTAATGACCCTTAACAACAACAACAACCAGGTCAGTCAGTGACGGCTCTTGACTTACCTTTTCAGGCTCATTTCAGCCACCTTTTTTGGTTTCAGCCAGATGAAGTCCTCTTTGTTCCTAAATGAGCTGATTCTTCTAAAGGAATTTGCCTTTTCAGCAGATCATTCCCTGGTCATCCCCTCTTAGTTACATTGTCCCATTGCACGTTGGCTTTTTATTCACTGCACCCAGAACTGTGTAATTTTCTATGTATTCATTCTTTTCCCATTGGGACTGTAAGTCCCAGGAAGGCAGGCTCTTTGGCTGTCCTACTCACTGCTCTGTCACCATTGCTCATCTCAGTGCCTGGCAATGACAGAGAGGACAAAAATTTGAGCATCTGGTATCCCTCACATCCCAACAACAGATGACTGTCCAGTTGCCCACCATTTAGGAACTATCTTCTTTTAGTGCCAAAGAACAGCAAATCCTTCAATGGTTCTTAAAACTAGATCTGACCTCCTTGGAGAGGATAGTTGGTGTTGTTATGTGCCGTGGAGTTGGTTCCAACTCATAGCCACCCTGTATAGGGTTTCTGAGGCTGTAAATCTTTACAGGAGTAGAAAGCCTCATCTTTCTCCAGGAGAACAACTGATAGTTTCGAGCTGCTGACCTTGCGGTTCGCAGCCCGATTCGTAACCACTATGCTACCAGAGCTCCTTGGAGAGCTTGTTCAAAATGGTCCAGTTGACCTCTTCACCTGGAGCACTGCAGCCAGACAGGAATTCCCTGGCTGTTTGGGAGCTTGCTTTACAAGCCCTGTGTATTAAGGTGTCATTAGGTACATCCCGCCCTGTTCTCTAAGGAAGCTTTGGTGCTTTCAAGACAGACCCGCTCCCACCAGACCAATTGTTATTTTCATACTATACTGTGCAGTCATTAATAGTGAGGCCCTTATTCACTACGGTGAAATTGTTAGAAATCTACTCAGTTTGAGAGCCCCCAATAGGGCACTGAAAGGGGAAGGAGCCAGAAAAACCTGCTCCAAAGGAAACAGAATGGCAAGGCAGAATGCAATGAAGTATTTTAAGAATGGTGTTGTAAAGTACCATTGAGTCTGTTCCAACTCATAGCGACCCTGTATAGGGTTTCCAAGGAGTGTCTGGTGAATTTGAATTGCTGATCTTGCTGTTCAAACTGACCTTGTGGTCCAGTGTATTATCCCACAGTGCTACACCAGGACTCCATCTTAAGAATGGCTGGGCTTTAGGGCAGATGAATGGTTGTGGCTGTCTTTAGGGAGGAAGATTTGCAGTGTAGGGGCTGCTAGTGGTGGGGTGATGGTCCACAGAACCATCACAAGGTATTCACAAGGTCCTTCCTGGGGATGAGAACTGCAGACGTAAGGGACAGCTAGGAATAACTGTCCACTCTGACTTGCAAAGAGTAATAACTGATTTTTTTTTTTCCTGTAAGAAAGCAATTTCTTCTGTGCATATGTGCCAAGGATAGTGTGTTTGTGAACAGCCTCTCTCCTCCCCATGCAAGTGGACCAGGAACCACCCTGCAAAGAAAGAGAGACTTACTATGTATCAGCCACATCTGTCTCCAGAAGAACAGGCCTCTCCTGCCCTTTGTGGAACTAGACACACCTCTCCAGGGAAGAAGGCAGACAGGATTTCCATCATACTCTATTAAAACCAAACAAACAACAGCAACAAGAACAGCAAAATCCCCCAACAGACTACGGAATTATGCTCTACATAAACTAGGATGGAATGACTCAGTCTCGTTTTGTGCAGGTATCAGAAGGGACCAAGTCCTGGAAAAGGAGATCATGCTTGGGAAAAATACAGGGTTATCAAAAAATAAGACATTCAAAAAGGTAAATTTCTGGGTGCAATGGGCTCAAACACCAAAAGTTGTGAGGATGGTGTTTCATTCAGTTGTACAAGAACCACTAGCCGGCACCTAACAACAACAGGAAAGGCGTACAAACAGGATGGGCCTGAGCTGAACTCTGGATGAGCCATCAACGTAAAGATTAGGAAAAGGAACCTCCCTACCGCACGCCATCTCAGGCCAAGGCCTCTTAAGGATGGGCTTGGTGGGGTCGCCAACCCACTACCAAGGGTAGGAGGGAACGCACGGCAACTCCTCCCAGTGCGTGTTCTCAGCTCTTGCTCCTCCTCTGCATCCTCTCTATCCTCCAGTCGTCCCTGAGTCTGTCTTCCAAGCCTTAAGTGTTTGCTCGGCGTGGGCCACAAGTCCTTCCACCTTTTCGCCTGCACTTGGGGTGGCCTCTACCAACAGGGCACCGTAAAACCCCGCGCAGCAGGGAGCGCGCGCAGGTTGGTGTGGCGAACAGACGCGGCTCTCTAGTCCCAGCCCTGATTGCAGGGCTGGGCGGAGGGCTGGCGCCACGCCCCCAAGTCCGGAAGGCTGGGGAACCGGCCCTGGGTTTCTGAGAACTTGGAGCCCCGCAGTGTGAAGCTCATGCCGGGGATGCGGCGACAGCTGCTTCCTGGTTTGAAGCTCGCCGAAGGGGGGAGAGCGTGAGCCCGCGGAGGCGGGGGCAGGAGGAGAAACTGGAGGCGGCAGGGGCCAGAGACACTTGGGGCTGAAGCTAACCGGACGGGTAGTGCCGGCTCTCCCGCAAGAGGAGTTTCCCGTCCCTGGAGAAGGGACGAGCCCCGGGGAAGCACCGTGAGCTCCAGGACGGCCGGGTTGCCCCTGCCCGCTGAGGGCTTGTCGCCGGGGTCCCCTCCTTCCCACCCCGGGAACGAGGCAGGGAGGGAGGGAAAGAGGGAAGAGGAAGGTCCCACGGAGGTGGCAGAATGTCCGGTGGAGGGGGACTTGGGTGCTGCTTTTTCCCGGAGTTGCCTCCACTCCTGCGACTACCGCGAGGGCTGGCCTGAGCCTGGGCTCCCCGCTCTTCTGCCGCAAGCCAGCGCGACCTCCCGGAACCGGGGCAGCGGCTCCAGTATGTCATCCAGCAGCATGAAGTTCAATGGCTACTTGAGGGTCCGCATCGGCGAAGCCGTGGGACTGCAGCCCACCCGTTGGTCCCTGCGCCACTCTCTCTTCAAGAAGGGTCACCAACTACTGGACCCCTACCTGACGGTGAGCGTGGACCAGGTGCGCGTGGGCCAAACCAGCACCAAGCAGAAGACTAACAAACCCACCTACAACGAGGAATTCTGCTCTAATGTTACCGACGGTGGCCACCTAGAGCTAGCCGTCTTCCACGAGACACCCCTGGGTTACGACCACTTCGTGGCCAACTGCACTCTGCAATTTCAGGAGTTACTGCGCACAGCCGGTACCTCGGACACCTTCGAAGGCTGGGTGAGTAGCCATGATCCTCACGTTTCAGCCCACTGGTCTCTCTTGCTCTCTCCACTTTTCAGAACTCGCTCGGGTACCACTTTCCCACATTCTTCCAGATCTCAGTGTCAGAGGGAATTCCCGCCAGACTTTGGTCTTTGCCCAGGTGGCTGTGGCATCGGTGACGCGGCGATCGTGGTGGGTGTGTACGGGTGCAGGTATGTCACCAGGAAGCTGGTCTGGACACAGTGCCCTTTCGGGGTTACTCTGGCTAACTGGAAGAGAGACAGGAGCAGGGGCTGTCATCCATCTCTCAGCACTGGGGTAATAGGCAGGAAAAGCAAGGAAGGTATGTTATGAAAGTGACTTGATTTAGATAAAGTGCTTCAAGCGCTTCTTAGGAGAAAGCCATACATTCTCGCGAGTATTATTCATAATGTTTATGGATACGTGTTGGTTCAGCCGCGCTGACGTGCACACGTGTTTCGGCCTGCACATCCCATTACATCCCAAAGGTACATAAATTTTATTGGCAGGGATAGGAGAGCCCGGGTCTACACGTTGGCAAAGTTTTATTTAGCAGTTTTCCAAGGAGATGAGGTTTACACATGTGTCCCAGTGACTTTACTTTAGTAACAATCTGAAATGTGTTAAGTCCGGAACTATGGTTTCTGCTGTTAGTCTCGCAAAGAGTCAGTAGTATGTGGACAGCCTCCTCCACAGAAAGAGCAGCAGGTGATTGGGGTTGCTGGAGTTCCGGTGTGGCGCTCTAGGAATACGCACTGGACTGCTAACCACAGGTCGGTGGTTCAAACCCACCAGCCGTTCCTTGGAAACCCTATACAGGGTTACAATGAGTCGGAACCACTTAATGGCACGTAACAACAGCAATGCCCATAACATTCTACTTGCCTCTGTTTTTCACTTCGTTCCCATGAGGCCAAAATTCTGCTGTAAATAGCTTAAATTTTCTATAGAATTACGCCCAATGCTAAGATGCCTTCGATTCATGCTATCTTTATGACACAGGTGTTATTATTTCCCACTGTTAGATAACGAAATGGTAATTAAAATTAAGTGGTCTAGTTCGGTAGATGGAGTAAACTGTTTGAAGGCGTTTAATGGTTCAAGTTCTAGCGTCAGTTATAAACTCAGAATGTAAATCAGCATAAAAAACGTATTTCAAATTAATAAGTGGTAGAATCAGATATAGGAGCCCTGGTAGCGTAGTGGTTATGAATCGGGCTGCTAACCTCAAGGTCGGCAGTTCGAGACTACCAGCTGTTTCGCGGGAGAAAGATGAGGCTTTCTGCTCCTGTAAAGATTTACAGCCTCGGAAACCCTGTACAGGGTCACTATGAGTCGGAACAGACTCCACGGCACATAACAACAAGAATCAGATAATAATGATGACATTTAAATATTTATTTTGCACTTTGAAGAATTGGTATTTTCACTATAAACCAAGGTCACTGCCATCAAATCGATTCTGACTCATAATGAGGCTATCTGCTCCTGTAAAGATTTATAGATGGTTGTGTAGTTATCACTTTATTTTAAATAGAAATAAAAAAGCTTAATGTCTATTTAATCATAATCCTCTAATTATATGGAGCTATTTCCCCTTCAGCGTAATTTCTTTTGTAGAATTTAGAATTAGACTAGGGAGGAATAGTTAAATGTTGTTGTTGGTAAGTGAGTGCTGTCAAGTTGATTCTGACTCATAGTGACTCTGTATAGGGTCTCCAAGGAGTGGCTGGTGAATTTGAACAGCTAACCTTGAGATTAAAACAGATTTGTGGTCCAGGACATCATATATATATATATAGTTAGGGACTTAACATTTTATCCTGTGAATTTTAGGATATGAAATAGAGGTGAATGTCGTAATTACAGTGGGATTATTAAATTCATGTCTGATTAGAAGGTAGGCTAGGCAATGCTCTTGAGGAAGTGGATTTTGAAGCATGGTGGTGCAGCTTGCCCTGCGGCCACGAGATAACAGGTCTTCCCTGACAACCATACCAAGACTGCATACTTTCATTCCTAGCCTGCATATTTGAATCACCTGAGAAGCTTTAAAAATCCCCACTTTTACAGATTGTGGATAGGAACCTCTGGCTATGTAGTCCCAACATCAGTACTTTTTGGCTCCCTGGGTGATTCCATTTTATAGCCAAAGTTGAGAACCTGTGTTCTAAATGAAGATCAAGAGATGGACTGGAAGAAGCAAATATGTAAGAAGATCCAGACTTTCTGACTAGGTGGAGGTGTGCAGAGCTGCTTAGTGGTGTCCCACTGGGTGAACAAAGATTTTCTTTACAATTGTCTGAATTAATTAATTATACACAGTGTTATGGAAAACAGGAGTGTTTGGTTGGGTAAGCTAAGGTTAGCACTTCTGACCTTGAAACTAATGATTTGTATGTATTTATATGTTCAGTTAGGAGGCAGATTTTTTTTGTATGTGAGTACAAGTTCTGAATATTTTGAAACTCTGAGGATCAGTTTGGTAGAATGGAGAGAGTGTTTATTTTATTGTTAAGAAAATAATCTGGAATTTTAGAACTATAAGCAATGCTTCTATTTTATAAATTATTACTTTTATAAATCTAAAAGTGTTTTTGAAGAAATATACCAAATTTATCTTTAGTATATGATATTGAAATGTATAGTTTATTTAGATAGAATGGAATAAAAGAATTTACCTCACAATATTTTTTGTGTGTGTGTGTTCCAATTTGAACTACACTTTGAAAACCTTAGAGACTTAGTTTTTGTTAGCTCATGAAGAAACAGAAAACCAGAAGATAAATTCATCGTAGAGTAAAACAGAAAATTTGTTATGTTCTCTGGCTTAATATAATTTTTAAATATAAAGAAGATAATAACTAACATTGATTTTAGTCCAATTTTGTCAATATTCCCTCTAAACTTGATGAGAGTAGAGATTAGGTCTATTTTATTCAGTATATTCTTAGTGCCAAACATAGTGCAGGACATGGAGTAGCTATTCAAATAATAGTTTACTAACTATTTTATCTCATTTAATCTACATAAAATCCAGTGTAGTTGTGAGATACAGCTAAAATTCTTAAATGGACATCATAGCACTAAACACTTAAATTAAGAAAAGATCTCAAATCAAAGACCTAACCTTCCACCTTAAACTAGTAAAGAAGAACCCAATGTGAGCAGAAGGAAGGAAATTGTAAAGATAGCAGAATTCAGTGAAATACAAAACAGATAAACAATAGAGAAAATCTGAAAAACCAAAAGCTAGTTCTTAGAGAAAAAAATTTTAATTGATTAACTTCAAGCCAGAATGATCAAGAAAAAGTATGCAAATTATCATTATAAATGAGAGATAGCACATCACTACAGATCCTACAGACTTTAAAAGGATAATAGTTAATATCATGAATAATTTTATGCCAGTAAATGTTACAATTTAGATGAAATGAACAAATTTCATGAAAGATACAAACTACCAAAGTTTACTCAAGAAGAAATATATAACTTGAATAGCTATCCCTACACCTACTAAAGTAATTGAATTTGTACTTAAAAACCTTCCATAATCAAACTCAAGATTTCAAATGACTTCAGCAGTGACTTCTAGCATACATTTAAGGGAGAAATAATACCCAAACTATACAAACTGTTTTAGCAAATAGAAGAAAAGAGAACATGTTCTAACTGATTTTATGAGATCAGTATTAATCTGATACCAAACCAAATGAACAAACAGAAACCTACAGATCAGTAGCCCTCTTGAACATAGATATGGTGGTGGTGGTTGTGTGCTGTGGAATTGGTTCCAACTCATAGCGGCCCTGTATAGAGTTTCTGAGGCTGTAAATCTTTACAGGAGCAGAAAGCCTCATCTTTCTCCTACAGAAGGGCTGGTAGTTTTGAACTGCTGACGTTGAGGTTATCAGCCTGACTCATAAACACTATGCTGCCAGAGCTCCTTGAACACAGATATAGAAATTCTTAAAATTTAGCAAATCGAATCCTACAATATATCAAAAGGTTCATAGTCATGATCAAACCAAGACGGAAAGATTTATATAAAAATCAATTAGTGTTATTTTTCATATTAACAGAAATAAAAAAGTATATCCATATTATCATCGCTACATATGCAGAAGAAATATTTTATAAAATTCAACATCCATTCGTTATAAAAACTCTAATCAAGCTAGGAATAGAAGGGAACTTCTTCAACTTGATAAAGGGCATCTTTGAAAAACCTGCAGGTAACAGTTTAATGGTGACAACCAAGAGATATTCTCTAAGATCAGAACAAGGCAAGGATGTCTGCTCTTCCGCTTCTATTCAGCATTATACTGGAGGTCCTAGTCAGTGAATTATGACCATTATGAGAAATAAAATACATACAGCCTGCTAAAAAAGAAGTAATTTATTTGCAGATAAACGTAGAACATTCTAAGGCATCTAAAAACAAACAAACAAACAAACAAACCGCTCCCTGAACCAACAGTTGTTTGTAAGATCCAATTCTCTGTATAAAAATCCATTATATTTGAAATAGAAAAATACCGTGTGTAATATAGTTAAAATATGGAATCGTTAGGCATAAAAACTGTTCAGTAGATTTAATGAAATCCCTGTCAGACTCTCAGCAGACTTTGTTATATAAATGGACAAATTGATCCAAAAAGCAATCCTACAATAATTAAGGTAGTGTGGTATTGGATTAAAGAGAATATAGAAAAAGAAATTGACCAGTTTATATTATCAATTTATATCTGACAAAAGATGCCAAGGTAATTCATTAGGAAAAGACAATTTTTTTCAACAAATGGTGCTTTATGAGTGAGATAGCCATATGCAGAATAATAAAAACATTCACTATTATCTCACCCATACATAAACATTAATTCCAAATGGATCATGGAGCTAAATGTAAGAGGTTAATTTTGAAAAATCTTGAGGAAAACACAGAAGAAAATCTCAGTGACCTTGGAATTGGAAGCTCACTCAAAAGTACCAAC